TAGGCACAATAGCTTTATAAATGGTAGTGTCATTTTCCCTATTTTTGGAGAAACCAAGGCTTGGAAAGATTAAGTAACTTTACTCAAGGTCATTGACAGTAACTAGTGGAACCAGGTCCAAACTGAAGCAGTCTTGTGCCCAGAGACTGCACTCCTGAGCCTGTGTATACTGCCCCAAATGAGGGTTTGGGTTATGTGTAAATCTGTAAAATCATGCTGACTGGACCGGAGGGAAACAAGGATGCTGACTGGACCGGAGGGAAACAAGGATGCTGATTGGACCAGAGGGAAACAAGAATGCTGATTGGACCAGAGGGAAACTAGGATGCTGATTGGACCAGAGGGAAACAAGAATGCTGATTGGACCAGAGGGAAACAAGGGTGCTGATTGGACCAGAGGGAAACAAGGATGCTGACTGGACCAGAGGGAAACAGGATTCTGGTTGGTTCCTCACCTTTTTCTAGTTAGGATTTCATCCTTCTGCAAGACAGTGGTTACAAATTAAGATTTCTATCCAGGCAGTAATTCATCCTTTAGAACATATTCATCTATTATTCCATGTGCGGATACTTGTCCAGGTAGACAGAATAAGTATGATTCACCTCCATCCAACAGATGAGGCAGCTGGGGGTTTAACAGTTGCCCAAAGTCACCCAACTAGTAAATGGCATTGCCAGAACCTTTCCACTGCTCTCTCCTCACAACTCTGGCTCTTACAAAATAAAAATTCAACTCAGTTCCACAAAAATGTATTCACTTGTGTATCTGAAAGTTAGTCCTCATCTAATACCATGAACATGCTCCTACCCAGACAGGGAGAGAAAGAAAACATAGGAGTGAAATACGACATGGCTGTCCACGCTTAACATGTTTGCAAAACTCAGGCCAAAGCTTTGGTAACATCTGCATCTTCTGTCATAACCACAAGACTGAAAACTGCAGCGTTGTGATAGCATGTTAGGTTTGCAATTTGAAGAGATTCACACGTCTCTGAGGAGTTACAAAACCATACACCCAGATCCATCAGCACAGGCCACCGAGAACGATGCCGGATGCTATGGATCCATCTGGGAGGGAGACTCAGAGCTTGTCCGGGCGGGAGAGCACTACTTCTGGGCCATCCTAGGCTTCCCTACAGGTGCTCAAACACTGGGATCTGCTAGAACCACCTGGGGAGTTTGCAAAGACACAGGTCCCCAGGCCCTGATCAGGGAGGTCTCCCAGCACCCTCAGGAATTCTGATACCAGCAGGGCTCAGCCAATGACACTGCTCCTCATGGCTGCACCACCCCAGGGAGAGCAACAGGTCCTATGTTCTGATAGTGGCTCTTATGAATGACACCAAAGACGGTCAAAATCTGAAGGTGGTCCCTACTTTTAGTCCTTTTGACTGGGGAGTAAGCTGTAGCTAAAAGTTTTAAACACAAGAGAAATCACTACCACTTATTTATTAAATTTCAACATTGAAATGTCCCATCCCCTTTGTTGCCTGAGACTCAATTCGCTCTCTTCGCCCATCTAGATACCTCTGAACAGCCAGTGCCGGAATTGCCCAATCTGTCAATAAGGTAAGAGTTTTCTAAACTACTATCCATATGACTCAATTTGTCAGTAAAAACTGCCACCAGCGCTGTGCTTGCAGAAAAATGCCCATAAATGCATTATTGCGACGGGCAGATCGATGTCTATAATAAAAACAAATAGATTTAACAAGTGCCTGCTTTTCCGAGGGACGCCATTGGTGGACTGCGCATTCCGGTTCGCCCCAGACTTCTGGGAATGGGCCATAGAGCTCAGCTTGGGTACTCTGCTGACTTCATAAGTGTTACGGGGAGGAAATTATTCTAACAAGAAAATTGTCGAAGTAGTAGAGTGAACATACTAGGCATTTAGAGCTCTCTCACAATTCCTTCCGTGGTCACACATGCACACACACAACAAATTGAACCACCACAAGAAAATGTGTCCATAGAATTTGTAACTGGTTAACCATGGCTGTATCACAGGCCAAATGAGTTTGCCCCAGGTGGGGGGAGGGGACCGGAGGCCTGCCCCCCTCCCTGGAGATCCCTCTACTCCTCTCCTAAGCCCACAATCTAACAGAAAACAACTTGTGGTACAAAAAACACAAGTTTCAGCCTTCAACCCGTGGGCAAAGATGGCACTGCTGTGTCAGTGGCCCCTGGGACAGCTATATATTTAGCTCTTTAGCTGGAGCAGACGTCAGGAGGGTGGCTGCCACAGACCGGCTCCACTGCCAGGGACCATGCACGTTGGCAAGACACTGCCTGTGACAGATTTACAAGTGAGCCAGAGCAGCCCAGACCACTGATTCCTTCAAAGGTTACAAAAGGTCACAAAAATGATTCATTCCTCTTCTTAGACAGTTCATTCTAACAGCCATATAAAGGTACATTCACTGTATTCCATATAGTTATCGTATGGTCCTCCCAAACCCTAAGACCCTCCCATAGAAGCTCTGTATTACTGTTAATTTTTTTTTAAGTCAAAAGAAAACTAGACTTTCTTTCCACTGACCAACAGATACGTGGCAGTCACCCCAATGTCTCAGAACACACATCTTGCTGTATTTTGTCTACAACGTGGAGTCTCAAGCTGTCATCTACCTATGCCCCAAACAGGCATCCAGAACTAACAGAAAACGACCAACCAGGGGAAAACGAGCCCTCCTGACCCTGCCCCCCTTCCCCATTAACCACAGACACTTCACTTCAGACCAAAAATGGAGCACAGGGTGGTTCACATATCATAAGTGTATGTGAAAATGCTGGGACTCCATCCACTCTCACCCAATGGTGATGCTCTAGTTTATGTGTGTGATTTTATCATCTGTCGGGTTTTGTTTAAATAATATTCTGTGATAACATATTCATCTCTTTCAGAAAGCAGCTGAGTCAGAGGCTACTATCCCAGGAAACGGGGTCAGGAGGCCCTGACAGAGGCCCAAGGAGCTCCATATGCGTGCCTGCAGTGACCAGAAACACAACAGGAAGGCGGGACCCTCAGGGAAACGGGACCTACAAGAGGAGCTCTATGCTGGGCAAGGGCGTCAGGCAGGGTCAGAGTGAAGTGTGAACATGAATGTGACAATGACGTTAACAGATGACCACAGGAGAGATTTCAGAAAATATGGTTCCGCTTCTTTCTCTTTTCTACCAAGGAGGCCAGACCCTCAATTGAAAAGGGCATCGATGCCCCCAAAAGAAAGTTGGAAGAGAACCCTCTTGGTGGTTTGAATCACTGGCTTCTAAATATCCTCTGTAAAGTAAGAAAAATATAGACAATTTAGTTTGTACTGTTTAAAAAATACTGACAACGGTAAACTGTGTTGGGTGCCTGAGGAAAAAGAGAGGACTGAAGAAGGAACTCAGCGGGAACGCCAGGGGGGTTGGTTCTTCCACAGGCCTGGCCACCCCTCTCTCCCTGCACGCAGGACGGACACGGGTGCAGGGAACCTGGGACAGAGGCCCGAGTCGAAGAGGAGGCCCAGGTGAGGCTCAGCTGAGAGCCTGTAGGGATTAAAACCGAGAAAAAAAGAAAGGCCTGAGAATATCAGCAGCTGAACAAGGGTGAGGTGTTAACCAGCCTGTCCGCACTGAGGGCTGAATTTCTTTAAGCCTGGGTCTCCAACTGGGAAGCCTTTTTAAAGTACTGTCGAATAAAAGTTAAATCTAGTTCTTATAATACAGGCCTTTTCTAATGAAAAGACGATTCATGCAGAAAAGTACCTGAGGATGCTCTACTTGAGGCCTGGTTCATCCAGCCCCCGGACTGAAACACAAAGCTCTACTATTCCTACTGTAACTGCAGACGAGAGCCAGGGAAGCGAGGGAGGCCAGGCCCAGCAGGGCAAGGCCAGCCCCCCTCTGCTACTTGCAGGCACTGGGCCTCAGCAAGTGTGGGCTTGCTGTGAGCTGCCTTAGGGGGTAATGCCTTCTGAGTTAACCCCTGATCAACTACCAACTTGGGTGGAGGACTCCACTGTTTCCCTAAAATTGTTTTACCCTGTCCCCACCTCCCTGAGTGTTTAGCCCATTGAGGAGTCAGGAAAACAAGCAAACCATCTCCTAATCTTTTGTCTTAGGATGGGGGAGGGAAACCTTGTTCATATGTAAATAACTAGGCCAGTTTTTAGTTCTTTCAACAGCTTCCCCTTCTACCTCAAACAGCTGTGACCCCTCTCCGATAGCCGTCTACCCAACCAAGCAAAAGCTGAGCTCACATATACAAAATGTGCTTCCGGGACAGAAAGCCAGCTACTGGGCCGAGGCATTGACAGTGGAAAACCACCTGAGACTCAGAAAGTTTCGAACCCAGGGAGTGAGGAGTGTAAGGTTTAGGACCGCTCTCCTGTATTATCCCGACTTGGGAATTATGGGGCCAGGTGTAAGTGGCTCTCAAACTCCACCTGTTTACTCCAAGTGTGCATGGAGGCAGTCGGGGTGTAATGCACACAAACACCAGCCCCGCGAGGGTCCTCGCCACCTGTCTCAAACAAGAGAGAAACGTGGAATTCTGCACAAGGAGTATGCTAAAGACTTGCTGAATGGACAGGCCCAAGGAGGGGCTTCTGGAAACTTCTTGGGAGCTGAAGGGGGAGCGGGGCCCCCTTGGCACCGCTGAGCAAGGTAAGAGAGGAGAGTGGGCAGTGGTAGCGTGGAAGGTGTGGGACTGGAAGTAGGGCAGGGACAGCCAGGTCCCCACACCAGGCCACGGCCACTGCAGTGCAACTTGGTCCAGGAACCCCAGACCTGCAGGAAGCCAGGCACACGTGGGCACACCTGCGCACACCTGGCCACACCTGAGCATCCCTGGGCCCTGTGGGGGGATGGTGGGGGGTCAGGGCGGGCTCCACCCGCACAGCGAGATGAGGGAGCCCGTAGGGCCACTCGGGCCGGCCTGCCCACGGGCTGCGGACGCCCGCTGTCCTCGGGGAGAGCCCTGAACTTGGGCAGGAGGCGGCCACCCAGACACTCACCGCGTGGCCCGAGACGCCGACGGCGGGCAGCTGCGAGCGCCGGGAAGCGGAGAGTTTCGGGAGCGCGGGAGG